TACTAAATATATTGGAATCTCACTACATTACATGATTAACTATATATATATATATAGAAGAATAATGAACCCATCAGCCTTAATAATTAAACAATTTGAAAAATGTAACGCCTAAAAAATATACATAATACCTCATCATTCAGACATGCAGTAATATAAGAAACAATCGCCTTTCCATCATCGGAGTAGTTCTTACAATAGTATTACATGTTAAAACAAAAGCAAGTGCCCTAACGGGCTTACAGCTTTCACAGTCAACACTTGGTTACACAAAAGAAGAGTACTACTCTATACAAGATAAGCCCTTGGCTTGATATACATGTAACACAAATAAAATTAAATAAAAAAAAACGTTCTTCAACTCCCATAACTATCCAAGCTATGTCTTTGGTGGCATGCTACTGTATCTGAAAATAATGTCCCATATAGGGTGAGCCAACGCCCAGTAGAGATATGCTAACACGATATGAGCAGTAATTAAGACATTATAATTGAATAAATGTTTAACTCCAAATCAATTCATAAACAATTTCCAATTAACATGACCACTATGTCTATGTTTTTATTTCATTTTCTATTTCTTATCAATTCCAAATTATTACTCATGCTCAGAACCTGGCACACACTCTAACCGAAAATATAATTCATATAAACGTTCCAGTTCGCAATTAGATAGCATACAAGCGTATCAACACCTCCACAGATAGCATATGAGCTATATCAATCTACCATAGATAAACATATGAGGCTATATCAACACACTAACTGACAAAGCATATGAGCTGTATCAGTGGAGCCATCCCTATCTTCCTCCCAAACAACATCCGTTTAATGGGTCATCCCTATCTTCCCTAACCGTGGAGTACATCTCCTATCTCTCCCATACACACACGTATATACACAAAGAGTCATAATACACAATCATATCAATACATAACGTTAATGTATTACTATCAAACCGTCATACCTCTATGACACATTCACGTGACTTATTTTAGTTTGCCTAATCATCATGCATTGTCATACAACATCAAAACTACCCTCCACCGAGTAGCACCAAAACAATTATTCTAAAACAGATAATAAAAGCTCCAATAGAAAATATAAATGTTTCCAGGAGTGGAGTGATTAATAAATCCAACTCTACCATTCTACATAATAATGAGCAATTTCATTATTTCCAACTCAATTCCAAATAACAACAATTTTTTTCAAAATTAATAGTTATACATTCTAATTAATATAACAGATAGGTTTCTACTCCATTTCCAATTAGACCCAAGAGTCCAAATATCAACAAACCAAACAACAATATCATTATTTTTGACCCAAAATAACATTTAGAATCAAAATTAAACAAACCCCCCTTTTATAACATTTTGAAACACTAAGATTTCTCAAATCAAACCATTTAACAACAAGTGCCCAACAATCTACGGTCAAAACCCACTAAGAGTGAGTAGAATCCCTACTAAAAGATGAAACCAACGAAGGGATGTAGGCTTATGTTCATTAGATTTTATCACAATTCTCTCTTTCTCACCAGAGTGCCAACTAAACTAAACTCATTTTACAATGTATTGCTCTTCAATTGATCAATACATGATACAAAGATAGAAGATAGGGAAAAAAAATAACGAAAGTATGTGGTTTTACTTCTTTATGCATAAAGTTGGTTTTTATTATCTCAAATGTATCAACAGCTAGACATACATTGATTGAACATATAAGAAAACACATAAAGTGTATCTAAATACATGATTGCAACATGAAATTTTCATAAAAGCAAAATTTGAAGCATATGGATTGTTTGAGCCCACTTTATTCTCCAGAAGCATGTCATGGCTAAGCTCATTGAACCCCAACATAGTATCATTTTCCTTCTTATAGCAATTACATTTTCCATTAACCTATGACCTGAAAAATAAATGAACAAGTAAGAAGATGATGAGAATAAGTGAATAAGAGGCATCATTACTTTTCTACTTATTAGTTACAAAACATAAGCGCATTATACGTACATGAGTTGATCACTTGTAGTGACTTGTTTAGTATGGAGGAGGTGGTGACTTATAGTAATAAGGAGGTGGCGGCGAGGGAGACGGAGGTGGAGGAGACTTATAATAGTACGGAGGTGGAGGAGACGGTGAAGGGGGAGGAGGGGATTTGTAGTAGTATGGAGGTGGTGGTGAGGGAGATGGAGGAGGTGGTGACTTATAGTAATAAGGAGGTGGCGGCGAGGGAGACGGAGGTGGAGGAGACTTATAATAGTACGGAGGTGGAGGAGATGGTGAAGGGGGAGGAGGGGATTTGTAGTAGTATGGAGGTGGTGGTGATGGAGATGGAGGAGGTGGTGATTTGTAGTAGTAAGGAGGAGGTGGAGGTGGGGGCGACGGCGGTGGCGGTGACTTATAATAGTAAGGTGATGGTGGCGGTGGGGACATGTAAGGCTTGTAATCAGCTGCTACATGTGTAGCTAACAAACATATTGCCAAGGCACATAGTGCCATTGGAAAAGAAGAGGCCATTTCCAGAAGCACTTTTAGGTTTTGTTTGTAATACCCACAGACTTCTACTATTTGATGTTTTCAGAAAGGGGAGGGATGCCATTTATATAGTGATATCTTCAATCAGTATGGGCATTTTTTTAATAGTTGTTGGATACTTCCTCCCTCTAACAAATCTCTTATTTTTTAAACACAAAATAATCTCCCATTTTCATTCAAATCTCTTAGTTTTATAGTTAACTGCATTCACATACATCTGACAAGGTTGGCATCTAGCGTGCGAGTGTGCCTTTATGAATAATGTAGTTAAATATCATCTGGTTATAACACAAAATGATTGGTTTTGATTTCATTTTATAGTTTTATAGGTAAGCTGTCTAATTCAATAAAAAAAACATTCTAACTATACAAGTATGTTAAAATTTTCATAGTCATACTGAAATTTTTTAAAATATTCTTCAAATTAACTTTTTAAAAATATTTAACAACTAAACAAATTATGCATATTATATAGTAATTGCTATAAATATACAATAAATCGTATAAATAGTATAAAAAAAAAAGAAACTATAAACATTTTTATACGAAAAAAAAAAAAAAAAAACTTTGTGAGAATGAAAGTCTCATTGACATCAAAATGAGATTGGGGTTTGAAGAATTGAATGAGAAGAAAAATAAGTATCTTGTATAACCAATATACATATTAAAATTAATAAAAACATCAAATGATTCCATTCAGTTTTGTTTGGTTCTTTTGAGCCTTAATTTGTTAATTGAACTGTAATTAACAGTTTTTAATTTTTCAATACCGGAACTAAACCGTCCTCTAAATGTTGGATTGGTTCAGATTAGTATATTGATTACTAATATATATATATATATATATATATTTAACTCCCCTAGTTAAGAAACAATATGTTCAGTGATGACATCCAAAAAAAACTGAAACGAATCATTTGATGTTTTTATTAATTTTAATATGTATATTGTGTTGTAAAAGATACATATTTTTCTTCTCATTCAATTCTTCAAACCCCAATCTCATTTTGACGTCAATGAGATTTTCATTCTCGCAAAATATTTTTTAATTCCGCTAGTTAAAATTTCTATATCTTGATATTTTCATGCAAATCAACAATTACGAGTGTTACTAAACAGCAGGACAATATGATTTGAAAAAATAATAAAAATAAAAATCCGTCGGTGGCCACATTTAGTTATAACAGCATCACCTTTTCATTTTATTTATTTATTTTTTGGTAAAATGCACACCATAGTTAGCTGTACACCTTAGAATTTTTCCATATTTTAATATGATGATAAGGAATAGCAAAGAAAAATGGCATTGACCATGGCAATGAAGTCATTGTTTCTACACTCGATAATTGGTTGCATTGCATGTAAGCCACCAACACCAACCACTCCTTCAAGTTGTTTAAAATCCAATTTTAACAGCTGTTTGATTTTGTCTTGGATTTGAATATATGTGGCTTGCAACTAATAATATTGATATCAAAGTTGAATATGGTTTATTATTAGTAGCTTTTTAATCATGATGGACTGCAATTACAGTCATTAATTACCTACTAGTTAAAATTTTAAGCTACATATGATTGGTTAGAAATCATCACTTCAATTTAGTCATCAAACACTCTTACATTGTTAATACCACTGTTGCAAGTATACATTAAGAACTAATGGTCATATTAGTTTGGTCTTACTAACATAAACACCAATATAATACATCTTAAAATTATAATTTTGTGTCGTACATATCATTGTGTCAGATTTTATCTCGGCAAATTATGATCAGTTAAAATTAAAAAAGTGGGTTAGGAGTCCCACCTTCATATATACATTATTGAGGAGATGGTTATAATAAATTGAGATTTAAAATCCCACTTTTATTTATGTAATTAACAATTAATTTAGATTAAAATTGACATGTTAGTCCGGATTCTCATTTCAGTGCTCGACAAATCCTTATTATTAATCGACAATTTCAAGAGAAGATCACACTTTAGATGACATGCAAGTTTGACGTCTTCAACTCATTTTTTAGACAATGTATGAATAAGCAACTAATAAACTAAATGCAATTAATATTTTCTTAATTAATTTGTGAAGAAGAAAAAGGTGCAATTAGCTAAGAAGGATTCAAATGTACGGTGTATATTATTCTTATTTGATTAAAAAAAATATATGTATATAATTCAAACCACGTCACGCATTTTAATATAATTAATCCCAGTTGTTAAGAACGATTCAAATGTTATAAGCTCTTAAAAAAATTATGGGAATAAGAGTGATTAAAACTAATACGATAAGAAACAAAAGTACTCAGAGTTGAATTAGTTTTACCCCCTCTGAGTTGACTACGAATTTGATATAATAATTGAAATGATAATGTTTTGATTCATAGGAAGACATTTGTTTTTTAGCCAATTAGCATCACTCGAGGTCACTTTCCATGGCTTTAATTAAAGGGTTTGTGATGTTGAACACATGTTAGTAGTGAAGTTCTTCGACCAATTATATGGACAAAAGTTCAAGAAAATGTGGATTTAAGTTTGGTTTGAATTATGAATTTTAGTAGGAATTTAAAAATGAAAAGAAGGTATATAAATGAAATGTAAATAAAATATAAATTATTATTATTAAATTTTTTTTTTTTCAATTTCCCTTTCCTTTTACAAATAAACATTCAGGTCACAAGTTCAATTTTAAAACTTTTGGGGCAATCCCCCCAAATTCTATTCTTTTGGAGTCAAAAGGACAAAAACAATTTCGAAAATCATATTATCTCTATCCATCTTTTCACGTCACTAATTTGTCTACCTCTCTATTCAAGTGTCATTTATATGTTGTCCAACCATTCCATTTTTATTTACATATCACCAATCTGTGCATAATACTACCAATCACCACTACCTTCAAGCCACCTCCTAACCATTTTTCCATCACAAATGACTTGACCAATGGCGTCTGGAAGCAGTGGGATAAAAATAAATAAATAAAAATATATATCTTCAAAACTATAGTTTATCATTCTGATCAACAATTTTATTAATTATGTCATTATTATTAAAAGATTAATGTTATATCCCTATAGAAATGGATTTATTACCAGTAAATTCATTTTAAATTCCTATCATAATCTATAATCCAACTACAGTATTAATATTTGAAGGTAAAAGGATAATTTTGACATATGATTCAAATTTTGGATGTGCGGCGATTTGGGCCCATTTCGAAATCCATTTTGATAATGCGAACCGTTCACATTTTAAAATACGTCAAGTAGAACATGCCTGAAAAAAATCAAGTTTATCGGATATCATTTACCTATTCATCCACTCACATATGTATTCATTTTAATCAAGCTAAAATATATTTGTATTTATTTTTGTAGATACAAATGTGAGTGGATGAATGCGTAAACGATATCCGATTAACTTAATTTTTTGCAGGCATGTTCTACCTGACGTATTCTAAAATATGAACGATTCGAATTATCAAAATAGATCCCGAAATAGACTCAAATTGCCGCACAACAGACGCTGTTGCGCAGGCTGCGCAACAGTGTCCCCATATCCTCAAAGGAATTTTGTAGTCTTATTGGAAAAAGTCAGCATTGTGTTTTTATTTTTATTTTTTGGATAAGTATGTCCGTGTTGTTATTACCTCTCAATTATTATTTTTTTCATTTCTAAAAATTTTTAATTTGCTATAATTTTGTTCAAGTATATCCTTTTTTAGTGTTTTTTTTTTTTATGACACATTTCTTAAAACTTTTTGTATTTAAATTTGGAGGGACTCAAATTTATTTATTTTTATTTCTAATAAAGATAACATCCACCCATTTAAATTTTTGAAGGAATAATTATAAATTTTAACTGTAGTTCCTAAAGTATACATTTAGGTCTCGTTTGGAGACTAAATATTTTAGTTAAAAATCAAAAAGTCACTATAACTTATCACATATTCTCTCTATTTTTACACGCATTTTTTATTAAAAAAAAAAAGTCAAAAAATTACTAAAATATTATATTCCCAAACGAGGTCTTAATGTCATTTTGATTTCTAAAATTTCAATTGAACGATTTATTATCTTATGTAAATAAATAAATAAATAAATAAATACTATATAACAGCCCTATAGTTTATATTGTGAATTTAGATTAATTGTATTGGCCCTAATTTTTTAGCCTACTAATACTTCTTTTATTTTTTTTCAGTCTACTAATACTATAAGAATTAAATAAGTTAAAGAGTCCCTAAATTTTATTAAAACTTTAGAATCCATGATAGCCTTGTCCCTTCCATGAGGGCCGGTGATGCTAGGTCATCGAAAATTAATGACTATCTAAAGGACTCTCAGTAACTTCCATTAACGTATAAAAATTATATTAAAATAAGTAAAATATATAAAAATATGTAATAATCTACACAGAAAAAATAAGACTTATGCTAGAGACGCTAAATAATTTATCAATTTTCTTACCAAACCTCACATACAGGTGTGGGACTCACACGTTTGGGACTCACACACATGTGGGTTTGTGTGGGTCCTACACCCATGTGATAAATTTGATAGAAAATTTAGTAAATCATTTGAGATCCATAGCATTTTTCAAAAATAATAGGGTAAATTACACTAACACCCCAGAGGTTTATATTTATTACAGTTTCCCTCCTCACCTTTTGAAATTACATCTACCCCTGAGATTTAAAGTTTCATTAGAGATTTTCTCCCTCAACAATTTAATTTTTTTAAATACCAATTTTTCTCTTATTGGGTAAATTACATTGACATCCCTCACATTTTAGGAATTACAATCCCTTCCCTAAGGTTTAAAGTAGCATTACCAATTGCCCCATTGGTTAGTACTAGTTGGAAAAAAAAAAATTCATTGAAAAAAAAAATTAATTGGAAAAAAAAAATTATTTTTAATCAATGATAAAAAGTGATTATTAGTGTAATTTACACAAAATAATTTACCCAAAATAATAAACATAAATCTCAAGGGTGTCAGTGTAATTTATCCAAAATAATAATAATAAAATACATTCACCTTAAGTGGTTTTGATTAC